CGGGACCCCTGCTAAGCGGCCCCGGGCGCTGGCCGCCCCTCGAGCCTGCTCGGAATGCGTTCAGTGGGTCTGGCCATTGGCTCCTGTTTAAACAGCGATTGTCATGCAATAGAAACCGCCCGGGTCCTGGATGCCACTTGGTCGTTGTCACTCCGGATGCCCGCGTAGGGCGTTTATCTGGACCAGAGCATCGGCAGCTGGGACCTGGCTGTGGTTCACAAGCTCGTGAATTAGCAGGTTCTTAAGTGAGTGTAGCCAGTTCTACCAGGCGGTGGAATCCTGAATGGATGTTATAGTTTCTTAAACGAGCATTACGCTTTTTTGCTTCCTCCCCCTACTCTTGTTTGTACCCGGTGATCGTCCTCTTATCTGGGAGATAACCCTAAAATTAATTTTCCCAATAAAATTTTTAAAAGATGATTGGATTCCCACTGTGCACCAACACTGTAAGGTTTGCAGAAGTAAAAAGAACGTGGTCCCAGCACATCAGGATGTGTCAGTCCCGCAGTCAAGATCAATATTAGGAAAGCTTCAAGTTGAGTTTGGAGAACTTGGGAGTTTGGCTCTGATTCTCATGATTTTAGAGGTGGAAGTCTTTCAAGATCATCTTCCCGAAAACCTCATTTTACAGAGATGAAACTGAGTCCTAGGGAAGGCGAATGGCTTACTCGTGGTCACCCAGAGTTATTCCTTAGCCGCTTTCACACTGTCAGATGGTGGTGGTTTCCACCATGACCTCCTCCTCTGAGAGGTATGCCAGACATACCAGAGAAAGTTCCAAAACTGTTTAAACGTAGTGCTATACATAGGAATTTAATACCGGGCGCGGTGGCTCATGACTATAATCGTAGCACTTTGGGACGCTGAAGTGGGCAGATCCCTTGAGACCAGGAGTTTGAGACCAGCCTGGGCAACATGGGGAAACCCTCTACAAAAGAAAGTATATGGTGGTGTGTTCCTGTGGTCCCAGCTACTTGGGAGGCTGAGGCTGGAGGATCACTTGAGCGCAGGAGGTGGAGGCTGCAATGAGCGGAGATTGTGCCACTCTTGGGCAGCAGAGAGAGAGACCTTGTCTCAAAAAAAAAAAAAAAGAGGGAATCTTGGAAATTTCTGAAATAAAATATATCTTTGTAATCTGTCTTTTTTTTTTTTTTAACAGCTAGACTTTGGGCTCCTTGAGGATATTCAGTTTTATACGTTTGAATATCCTCTCACCATGTTCAGCGGAAAATACCATTCTTAATGATTATCCTCAACAAGACGGGTAGGCTCATTCGATTTTTCTTTCTCACTTTAAATAGAGGAGACAGAGGACTGGCAAGTCCAAGTGTGTTCTTAGAGCAAACCATGTAGGCTGACGCTAGAGAATGATTGTGCCTGTAAGGATGGCTCCCCTACTGTGAATTAGGTGTGAACATTTAACCGATTCCTTACAGATAGTAGCTATTTGAGGCTAGAGATTTCAGTGGAGCCTCTTTAGCCAGAGTACTTGGCATCTCTGCCACTTGAAGACAGGTCGCCAAAGCTGTAGTGTACACAGTTAGAAAATAGGAATTGACACTTTTCCTTTGAAGCTAGCTTTTGAGGAGTATACCATAATTTGAGATATAGTAGTATTTTTTTCCAGTTTTATTTCTGTTTTCCCAGAGGTAATATCTTAACAGGAGATCATTTTTATTTGGCTTCTGGTAGAAGTTGTTTAAGAGAAAATGATCCAAGCACTAATTATGTTGGTTATTAGAATAATAGAATCATAACAGTTCATTGCTGGAAAGGACTCAGGTCAGGTCATGTAATGAATGCCGAATCCCAGTAAGTCCATGAGGGGATTGGAGCCCCTCTCACACCAGTACTGTTTGCCTCATTGCACTTTGTTCGCTTTTTCTTATCGTTTAATTACCTCCCCCTGCCCTTGTGTATTTAAATATCATCTTTTCATTTTCATGTGCATAGAATTATGACCTATTGTGGTCTCTTTCTGTCGTTAGAATGTGGTATGATGTGTCAGTGCAAACTTACTAATAATTTGTTTCTGCTCTGTGGTTATTTATCACATATATTTATGTTTTGCAGGTGTGAGAAGATTGCTGTTGTATTTCAATCATGGTGCAGAAATACCAGTCGCCAGTGAGGGTGTACAAATACCCCTTTGAATTAATTATGGCTGTAAGTACTTGACATTTCAATTTACTCTTTGGCTTCTTATTTATAAAATACGGTGTTAGAATTTGATGATCTATAGATTTATTGTTTGTTTCCATGGCGTCACTTGTACTTATTCTGTTTTTATGCTTATGAACTGTATCGAGAGTGTGTAAAATGTTTTTAAAACGTAAGCCTCTGAAAATAAAAATCTGCGCATTAAAAAAATGCACCTCAGGGTAATGTATGAATTGAAGTTAATTCTCCCTTTGAACACACGAAGTGGGATTCTAAGCACTTCTTCTTCGGGATTGTGCTCTTTTTTTTCTTTGTTAGAGCAGCAAAGGGATGTGGAGTGTGGTCTCTGCTGCTCACGTGGAAGAGTGCTCTGCCTGTGGGTGAATTCACTTTAGGTAGTGTTAGAACTGAGCACTGTGCGGTGGAGTTTTACTCACCTGATTCAAATGACTCAGCTGAATGAGTTTTTCCCCCAGTATTAAATCCATGAGTTCAGTTAGAATTCCACACATGGGGTAAAGTCTTAATTTTCTTTGTTATTTACCTGAAGAATTTGACTGAAAATAAGCATATCACTAGATGCAAAGCAAACCTTTTCCAGTTATTTTTAGATTACTGTAGGGTATTCCTTCTTTTCCTTTCTCTTTTGTGTTATTATTAAGATATACATACCAGAAAATATGATACAGGCAGGAGAATGTGTCTTTCATGAGCACACACCTGATGAAAACACGTGTGTCACACTCAGCGCACCTGGGGTACTGGCACCAGGGTCAGGAAGTCAGGAACCAGAACGTAGGCGACCCAGGAAGAAGTCTGCCCTGGTTCAAGTGAGCCACTGTTTTGACTCCTAACACACAGGGGACTGTTACCTGTTTCTGTTCCTTCTATAAATAGAAACACAGGTGTCTTAGCAGCTGGCTGCTTCTGCTTAGTGTATGTTTGTGGGATTTATCTAGATCAATAGTTTTGAAAAACAGAAAGTCCTCTTATAGGAACAATTTACATGAGAGGGTTTGTTTTAAAATTTATTTTTATTTATTTATTCTTTTGAGACGGCGTCTGGCTCTGTCACCCAGACTGAAGTGCGATGGCGTGATCTCAGCTCACTGCAACCTCTGCCTCCTGGGTTCAAGCCATTCTCCTGCCTCAGCCACTCAAGTAGCTGGGATTACAGGCCTGCACTACCATGCCCACCTAATTTTTGTATTTTTAGTAGAGATGGGGTTTCTCCCTGTTGGTGAGGCTGGTCTCGAACTCCTGACCTCAGGTGATCCACCCACCTTAGTCTCCCAGAGTGCTGGGATTACCAGCGTGAGCCACCTCTCCTGGCCTATTTTTATTTTTATTTTTGAGACGGAGTTTGCTCTTGTCGCCCAGGTTGGAGTGCAATGACATGATCTTGACTCACTGCAAGCTCCGCCTTCTGAGTTCAAGCAATTCTCCTGCATCAGCCTCCCGAACAGTTGGGGTTACAGGTGCCTGCCCCCGCACCTGGCTAATTTTTTTTTTTTTTTTTTTAGTAGAGATGGAGTTTCTCCATGTTGGCCAGGCTGGTCTCGAACTTCTGCCCTTAGGTGATCCTCCTGCCTCGGCCTCCCAAAGTGCTAGGATTATGGGTGTGAACCACCATACCTGGCCCATTTTTTAAATTGAGGTATAATTTACATCCAGTGAAATGGTCACATGTCAGGTGTACAGTTTGATCAATTTTAACAAAAGAATCCCTAACACTTTTGTCAAAAGACAGGACATTTGCGTCCATCCCCCGTGAAGGTTCCTTGGTGTGCCTTCCCTTTCAGGTATGAGGTTTTGGTTTGTGTGTGTGGGTAAGAAGTTCTGTGTTACTCTTAAATATGTGTAACTAGGGCTGTTGAGTATTTTATGTTGTTGACTTACCATGTTTGCCATTTGCATGTTATCTGCGCTGTTTTGGCTTTTGGTTGTATGAGACAAAGACTCTCTCCAGCCAGCTTGGGAAGGAGTTTTGTGAGTGGGAACATGTATAGTGTGATAGGAATTGCACAGGAATCCGGGAATTCGAGCTGGGATGGGCTGAGCTCCAGAGCCTGGTGGTGGAGGGAGGTTCCTCGCTGCTCTGGGGGCCTCAGCCACAGTTTTTGTCTAGGATTTTGCCCCATGGGACTGTGCCTGGCTCCATGTGCTGGAGCCTTCTCCCCTGCCACCAGCTGGCTGCTTTGCTCTATCCTGGTTTCCCTTCCTTGTGGCTTCAGCTGGAGGACTTGCTTAGCTGTCCAAAAGCCCTCTGGCCCCAGTTCAACTCTGTGGCATTTCTTGTTGCATTCTTTCAGTTTCTAAGTGACCAATTCCTGTCACATTTCATAGTTCACATCCTTGAGAGAAACTTGATCTAGTTCATTCCCCACCCCCACCCCTGCCCTGGCCCTGGGTTTGAGGATATTGGCTAGCCTGCGGATTGTCTGTCCTGGGTGGGAGGCCTGACCCGTGTTCAGTGAGCTGGGCTGGTGGAGCTGGGGAGGAGGCGTTGGGGTTGTGGGCAGTGGGCAGCGCCGGGTAAGGCAGAGTGGCTGCCCATGGCCCGGGGTGGACACAGGACAGAGAGTTGGGTGGAGTGGTGGATATTTTCCAAAACACTTGAGTGTGACTTAAAAAGCTTCACGCAACCCTCATAGTTTGAGGCAAAGGCTGGTTTCTTTGTCAAACATTAGATTTAATAAAGAGGAGGTGTTTGGATTGTTTACGGTTTGGACTTCCTTATTCCCTTACTTCACTATTTTCAAAATTGTGACGTTTGCCTTGCCGGTTTATGCAGGACTTTACAGAACTCGAAATTCAAATTCTGAGCTGCCACCAAGTTTTTACAATTAAACCATTTTAAAATTTTTGTTCTGAGGTAGTGGTTAATTTCCCTTCTTTTTCTTTCTTCTCCTTTTTTTTATGATTTAAAACTTACTAGTTAGAAACTTTTCTTTTTGCCTCACCAGCTTCAGGAAATTTTCTTTTGAATTGTTAGACAAAAATAAATAAATAAATAAACCCACAGACGCATGCACACGCATGTATGTTCTTCCACCCTGTAGTATAAAGAAAACATTTTGAAATCCGAAAATGAAGTATGTTACCTTTTTCCTTCCAGAAGTAGACTGTGGGTGATGTTTGTGTGGTGTGTTTTGCTCACCTTTCTTACTGTAGTTGTATGGTATAAAATCCTCAGTATTTGCTTTATTTTTTTCTCATTGAGGAAAACAGTAAAATGAGTTAACCTGAAAATGTCCTTTCCAGTTCAGCATTCAGAGTGAGGAAAGAGGTATAGATACAGTTAAGGTGAGAACGGAACTGTATTCCGCCGACGTATTTGTGAGCACGTCAGAGAGCGAACGTGCCTCACTGGAATGCATGATGGCGTCAGCAGTGGCAGGCAGGTGCCCGGCACGCAGTCACGGGAGGTGGGTCCAAGTCCTGGTTTATGTGAGTCCTGTGAGGTGAGAGAGTGGGGAAAAATGCCACCCACTCAACTTAATGCCCTTGTTTGTTTGTTTTAACCAAGAGTTTACTTGTAATTTAGTATTGCCAGAAAACTGTTTAGGTAAAAAGTGTCGAGTATAAATAGGTACACAGTCGGGTCAGATATGTTAATTGCATCTCACTTGATTTAATGAAAATTTACCATTTGTTTTGAGGTCAGTACCATTAAAAAAAACATGTTAAAGTTCTCATTAACTCGCTTCAGTGATATTTACATAGGCAAAATTGAAGTGGCGGTTTTTCAGTAGGCATTTGCGTGGTGTTCTTTCGTTAGATACCAGCCCAGAAACAGAATGTCAGAGCTTTCAGCGAGTTGGAGAAATCACCTAGCTCAACCCTCCCTGGGAAGGAGGGCGGGGAATCCGAGACTCTGAGGTGGTGAAACTTACACAGGTAGTGCCGAGATCTGATTCTGGGGTTTGGTGTTCTTTTCTCATACTGTGCTTCTTCCTCCTACCCACGGATGTGTACCTGAAACATTTTAGGAAAGAGAAATCAAAACTTCTTGGCCACACACAAACGAAAGCCTCACACCTGACAGGGAGGGCGCACCTGACAGGGAGGGCACACCGGGAACCTTCTGGTGGGATGGTTGCACATGTCCTGTGTTTTGACAAAGGTGTGAGGGACTCATTTTTTAAATTGAGTTATAATTTACATACAGTGAAATGGTCACATGTCAGGTGTACCGTTTGATCAGTTTTAACAAAAGGGCTACGCTTCCTGGCTTGTGGGAAGGAGAAATGAATCAGTGAAGAACACGCTGATTGATTGTGCCTTAAAGGCTTTACGATCTCATGGGGGCATAGTGATATGATCCCACAGATTAGGAACGTAGAGTGGGAGGTATAATTCTAGGGTACTTGAGTTGAAGTGTTTCTTTTGGAAATTTCTAAGACAAAGCACAAACTTTAAAAGTTAAACATGGTCAAATGCAACTCCCCCCCTCCCCCCATGTTAATGGCTCCTTAATAAAGGCTTCAAAGGGAAAATGAAGGAGGCGGGAGGCCACCTAGTGTAGGAGGGCAGGGTGGGAGAGGTCAAGGTCAGGAGCCCTTAAGGAGAGTTGTGGGAGAGAGGGAAGAACATGAGAGGCCACCTTCTGGACCCAATTTCTGTGGTGACAGCCGCAGGTGAGACGATGGCTTGGACTCAGGTCTGTCTTCTGCTGAGGACAGCTGTCCTCATTGTGACCAGTGGGAACACACGAATAGGCTCCACTAGCTCCTGTGCATCCCAGAAGCTGCCGCCCTGTCCAGTGCCGTTTCTGCCTGGGCTTTCCATGACACAGCAGATGCGGTCACCTCATTCTTTGCTCTCTCCTTTCCTCTCCCTCATCCCAGTTTCACTGTGCTCTAGGAGTGCTGGCATTCTCCAGGAACCCCTTCAGTGTCTCCGTCCTTTCAACAGACACACCCTTTAGACTGTGCCTTCAGGAACCAAGGCACCTGGTTCTGTCCCTGTCTATCCCAGCACTGCCATCGTTGCAGCGTAAGCCC